AAGAAGATGCGGTGAATCATCTTGTAGAAGTGTAAGTTTTGATTTGATCTGAACAAGGATTTTATCCGATTGCTTCAAGGATAAAAATCGGAAGGAAAGTGCCCGCTGAAACTGAGTTGACTCGGGGGAAAAAGAAGACGAACCGCTTTCTTTGGTATGTTTAATTTAACTTATTCTCTCCTTAATCGATTGCTCGTTTTATCATTTATTACTCCTATTTTTGGAAAGTTGGTATCGAGTTATTTATCGTATTTAATAGGAATTTATCATTTTTTCCTAATTTTAAATGTCCTGCAAATTTATCACTTCTTCTATTATTTTTGTTGGCAGCCATAAAGTAGAGAATACGGCTCCATTTCAGCTTTTAGTTTAATTGTTCAACGCTTGAAATTTAACGACTTAATTTGTTTTTTGGGCTTTGAAGTGATTGAAATGGGGTGTCAATGCTCTAAGCTAATGCCATGTTGCTGGGATTCACAGTTCCAAGCGGCAGTGTTAGAAGCCCCTGATGTTGGTGGGTATTATTACTATTGAATTTTCTTTGGCAGTTTTTTTATTCGTGGATGATGTGAATCAGAATGATTAGTTAAAATGTTTGAACTTGTTGTAGAGAATGAACAGAGTGGCGAGGTTGATGAGTTGCCTGCGTTTAGGGAATTCACATTGGAGCAACTCAAGAATGCAACATCTGGATTTGCAGTCGAGAATATTGTTTCTGAGCATGGGGAGAAGGCTCCTAATGTTGTTTATAGAGGAAAGTTAGAGAATCATAGGAGAATTGCTGTTAAACGTTTCAATAGAATGGCTTGGCCTGATTCACGACAATTTATGGTAAATAACTAACCAAAGTTTGCACTTAGCTAAAGCTTTGCTTTCATTTTTTTTCCTGTGATTGTAACTTGAGCTATTTCATTATGCATCTATAGGAGGAAGCAAGATCAGTTGGTCAGCTACGCAACAATAGATTGGCGAATTTGCTTGGCTGTTGTTGTGAAGGTGATGAAAGGTTGCTTGTGGCAGAGTACATGCCCAACGAGACACTCGCAAAACACCTTTTTCATTGTAAGGCTTGTAATCCTTGTGTTTGTAAGTTTATAGCTACGTCTTGTAAATGGCTCTTAACATTACTTCTAATTTCACCAGTCATAATTGTTTCGCAGTATCTGCCGGGAAAATGCTTCCATCTAAACAAAAATATTATTTTTTAAGTAGATATTTAGTTATTCAATTGTTAGGGTGATCAAACTTTTGCTGTATAGACAAATGGGTTTTGAAATTATGTTTCCTGGTCCCAAAATGTAAGTGTCTGGAATAATCTTTTTACTTCCTTGAATCAGGGGAATCACAACCAATGAAATGGGCCATGCGATTAAGGGTTGTAATCTATCTTGCACAAGCATTAGAATACTGCACGAACAAAGGGCGTGCATTATACCATGATCTCAATGCTTACAGAGTTCTGTTTGATGAGGTAATATTTTCTTATCTTGCTTTCTGATCATTTTCTATTGGTAAATTTTGTAGGATCCCACGATTTATATATATTTGAATTCTTGCAGGACGGAAATCCGAGACTTTCAACCTTTGGCTTGATGAAAAACAGTAGAGATGGAAAAAGTTACAGTACAAATTTGGCATTTACTCCTCCAGAATATTTGAGGACTGGTATTTACAATATGGATAATTTTACAGTATGCATTCTACTTTATTTTATTGGATACTGGTGAATTATGTTCTAGCTATGTCTCCATATTCAGCATGAAAACTGGATCTACATTGTGATAATGTTCCTTCTATATAAAAAAAAACATTGTGATAATGTTCCATCATAACTTTTTAGTGTTAATTGAGATGCCAAACTTGCCTGCACATTTATCTGGCACTAACTTTTGTACTTGATACATTCTAATCAAGAACTTATTTCAAGTGCCTTACCTTTGTTATGTAGGAAGAGTAACACCAGAAAGTGTAATATATAGCTTTGGCACTCTCCTGCTTGATCTTCTCAGTGGAAAACATATCCCTCCCAGCCATGTAAGTTACTTGTTTTTTGAATATAACCATTGGGTTTGTTTCGTTTCTCATTTGAACACAATAGTAGTCTGTTCACAATGTGGTTGTCATGACATCGACATCTTAAAGACTTTTTAAATCTTGATTGCTAATGCCCAAGCAATTTCTGCCAGGCACTTGACCTAATACGAGACAGAAATCTTCAGATGTTGACTGATTCCTGCTTGGAAGGGCAATTTTCTGATAATGATGGAACCGAGCTAGTTCGCTTGGCTTCTAGGTGTTTGCAATATGAACCAAGAGAGCGGCCAAATCCTAAATCTTTAGTTGCTGCTTTGACATCTCTTCAGAAGGAAACTGAGGCAAGTTGTTTTTCCTTTTTCCTGCGAAGTGGCAGTATATTTACATTTTATGTGAATCAGATTGTTAGCAATAACATTGGTGTTCATTAAGGAATCTTCTTTTCATGGAGGTCCATGCACTTCTGAGAAAAAAGGGAAAAAGGGACAGGAGTTCACTGAGTTCTAGTTTCCTTTCCTGTGTAGGTTCCTTCGCATGTACTAATGGGCATTCCAAACAATGCTTCCTTCACTCCCCTATCTCCAGTTGGAGAGGCTTGCTCAAGAGGGGACTTGACTGCTATACATGAGATTTTAGAGAATCTTGGCTACAAAGATGACGAGGGAGTGGTGAATGAGGTTTGTGTTAGTGTGCCTTATACTCTCTTTTTTTCCTCCTATCACACTTTTAATTGTAATAGCAGTTTCTTGTTTGCTACATTGTAGGTTATAATCAAATTTCCAATTTTTCTTTTATATTTGCTTCAATCTAAATTTCAAAAATTGCAAATAATCAGGAATCCATTGTTTGGTTTCTGTCTAACATGCAAAGTACTTGCTGTCCATTGTTTCTGAAACATTTCTTGTGTTCTCCTGCAGCTCTCCTTCCAAATGTGGACTGGCCAAATGCAGGAAACTTTGAACTCAAAGAAGAAGGGGGATGCTGCTTTCAGGCAGAAAGATTTTAAAGAAGCTATTGAGTTCTACACTCAGGTTAAGTTGTTAATGATATTTTCAGTCAATTTAAAGAACATTAGTTGCAACTTCATAATATTATCTATGCTAGCTTTCCTTCGAATATTCTTGTGCAGATTCCACAAACTCTATTTGTCGATGGCATGCTTCTTTTCCATTTTCCACTAACTCGATATGTTATATACATATTTTGAAGAATACATTGGTTATACACTGCTGGTGAAGTTTTCAGTTTTGGGGCTGGAATTGTTTCTAGGTATTCGTAGAAATCCACTGACAGTTTCTTTATAAATTCACAGTTTATCGATGGCGGTACCATGGTTTCCCCAACTATTTTCGCACGGCGTAGTTTGTGTTATCTCATTAACGACATGCCACAAGAAGCCCTGAATGATGCGATGCAAGCCCAAGTGATCTCCCCAGTATGGCACATTGCTTCTTATCTTCAGGCTACTGCACTTGCTGCTCTCGGGATGGAGAACGAGTGTCAAATAGCACTAAAGGAGGGCGCCACTCTTGAAGCCAAGAGAAGCTCAGTGGCTGGGAAAAAGTAAACAGCACCATGCGGATAGTGAGTCTCCTAATCGCAGTGCTTTGTTTGTGATGATGAAAACCTGACATCGATCTAGGGAGTCTGCAAAGACCGTGCGATCAAGTGTTCACTCATTCTGTAATTCAACCATAGAAAAACAGTCGTTTTCCCTGGTAATGGCAAGTGAAAGTGTAGTCATTGATTTCTTTGCCTTTTATTTCTTTTTATTGTGTTATTTTCCCTTTATGAGTGTATGTGCGAGTTCTTTCATTCTTTGTTGGGTTTGATCAGTTGTGCTCGTTTATGTAACAAATTCTTCCGTCACATTGATTTGGTAACCGAGAAACATTTGGTAATTTGATCTAAAATTTATGTTAATTTCCCCCCAACTTATGCTGATAAACTATTTTCTTAACTTATACAAGAGTATGTATTGTACATCGTTAGAGTTTTGTGATTCAAATTATGTTTTAGTTTTATACTAATCTAGTATCCTTAGATACAAGGCCGGAGTCAAGATTTAATCTTAACATAGGTTGGATTTCTAACTATCTTCGAAGATCTATCTTCCAAAGGTGAAGCATCAAGAGGTATATCGATTGAAGTTTTAGTTATTATATTTTTCGAAGGTTAACCGCTTTTTCTCTTAAAAAAACTCTATAATTGTTGGATTTTTTCCATGACAATATGTATTTATATAAAACTAGTTCACGAAAAAAAATAATAAGAAATCATCATTCAACTTAACAATTATTAGATTACCCAAACGAAAGCTAAAATTAAATATAAAATCAAATAATTTTAATTAAAAAATAATAAATATAATACTGCTTAATTGCTTACCTTTAAAATTTGACATTCGATTGAATTTGGATTACTTAAGTAAATTTTAGACAATCGTAGTAGAAGAGAATTTTATTGTGAAGCTTATGGTTTTTTAACAATATTGTATGTTAGAAATATAAAAGACTTTTTCTTATTTATATTGATTTTGAAAAAACTCAATTCCTATTCAATTGCACTAAAAATTTTTGACGACTCCTACTAGGGTAAGAAAAAAATTAAAAATTACAGTAGGGGCCGAGGCTCCTTGAGCCTTAAGGGCCCTCCTCCGCTGGTTAAATAAGTGAAAATAAATGGTTGAGATAATCTTTATTTTTTTCAAGTGAATATCTTATGTTTCTTATTTGTGACTTATGTTTAGTAAACTTAATATATATATATATATATATATATATATATATATATATATATATAAGTGTTTGTAAGATTCCCCATAGGGTTTTATACACAAACATTCAGAAGGATGATCAACATTTGTTGTCTACATTGTCTTTGCCGTGAAAAGAAAATCAAAATACAGGTACTAACGACAGAACACTGTTAAAAAGGAACAACAAACGTACATTAATTATAGTGATGAAGTACTCCACTAGTGACGACATGTAGCTATAGCTTTATGAGACAACACAGCTACAGCAAGCTTCCATTCCTCTCCCATCTTTAAAACTCTGTTCGATTACCTCTAGCTGCACTATTATCTCTTCGAACGTCGGTCTACAATCCGGATTCTTGTGCCAGCATTCTTTAAGAAGCCTGAATCAAGACAGCAACAACAACAACAAAAAACCATCAGACTGAATGGATACAATCATTACCTCAAGTTCTAGATTTGGTTGCTGAGACAAATTTTCAAGGGTAGCCTTATATTAGCACAGAAAACCGGGAGAATTCACATTTTGATCGGTTCGGGGTAAAAGAATGAAGAGAGCGGTGGCCTCAAATCCTCGTATGCCCTCTTGTCCGCGACTTGTTCGGCTGTTTCCGCCCTGTTTGATGGTCCTCCTTGGAACATCTGTGAGGAAATGTACTTAATTAGCCATGCTTGATCTGCCATGGAAACTATGTCATCTTATAAACAATCCGTGCATACAATTTAAGTCACCTCATGCAGTATTAAAGCAAAGGAGAAGACATCAACGCTCTTCCCGTAGGATTCTCGGCGGTAAACCTCGGGTGCCATATACCGATCTGGCGAATCTCGAAACAGCAGCTAATGTCAAAACTCATAACTTATTAATGTTCAATTTTTCAGAAGGAAGTGAAACTTTACATGAACCAGTTCCCCCAGTCATTTTGTAACCATAGGAATCCTTTTCCTGTGCAAGTTTGCTCAAACCGAAATCGGTAACCTTAAGGCGGCCAGCTTCATCTTGTAACACATTTCTGCAAGACCAACAGAATGAAGGCATCAGAATCTATTGCTTCTTATCTAAGTAAGCGTGTACTCCAAGTTAATTCATAATCTGTCCTGGTGACAAGGACTTGACTGTGGCATCGGCCGGAAGATCTAATTTCCAATACCTTGGCGTCAAATCTCGGTGTATAATAGCATGAGGTTTATGCTGGTGTAGATAGTTCATGCCTCTGCAAGGTCCAAAAGATATAAGCTCTTTTCAGAATTCGGTAACCGCCCCAACATTACAAGTAAACTAAACATAATCAAACAGCGGAGTAGAGGGGCTGAATTAACGACAAGATATTTTGAAGAGGAAGCTCATCAATGATTTACTGTAATATGTACCTTGCAATATCAAGAGCATAGGAGATGGCTGTTTGTGGATCAAGTCTTCCCTTCTTTCTCAATATATCATACAAACTTCCCTAGCTCGACAAAATCAAATGAAAATAAGCTCAAGGCGATCTTATGAAGGTTGCTCATTACGCAATGGGGGCGAGACTCACATTCCGAAGGTACTCGGTGAGGAAGATTAAACGATCAGAGTGCTTCAGAACACCGAGGAACTGCACTATATTAGGGTGGCGCAACCTTTGCCACAAAGCCAATTCCTTCAGAAAGGTATTTCTGTTAAATATTCAACAGCAAACAAGCAAAAAGTGGCTTTGATTGTCAAGCTAGAATAACCATAATTGAAGCTTTACTAATCTGCAAGGTATGTCATATCGGGCTTAGTGATAGAAGAGATTGAAGCTTGCTATAAGTGGTAGCATATAAGATTTACTTTGCTTTAGGATTTGATGCGATCGAAGAACGGATTGTCTTGGCCGCAACTTCAGTGCCACGCCAGTTTACCAGATAAACTTCACCATATGCTCCCTGGTATGCATTGGCGAAATACCACCGAAATAGAGATTGATAAAAAAGAAAATATGAGGAAATCATATCAGATGCCCTCACTCGTATGAAATCGAAAAGAGAGGAACTTACCTCTCCGATGAGGGTTGCTTCATCCATGTCGACCTCACTGTGATCGATTTCAAAGCATGGAGCTTGAGAGTCGACTCCCACCTATTACAAGGAAATGATAAGATGTCAAATGAGAAGCAACATTGTATGTACCAAGTCCCCAACCCTACAAAACACAGACATACTCCTTTACACTATAACTCTAACCGAATCGATCCCCTAGCACAAAACAGAATGTTCCAAGTGAGCTTCATAAGATTCCCTAGCACAAAACAGAACTACTATCTTGTTCTCATGCACAATTTCTCAAGAAAAATGCAGACAAAAGGCACAAAATACCGGGTCGATTCCCCCTCGAGCTTCAAGTATCTTGCAAACCTCGTGATGTCGAAAGCTACGTGCATCGGACAATGGCTACAAAAACAATCCACATCAAAATCCATTCGCATAAACTGATCTATCCAAAAACGAAAGGAAAAGGATTGAACTTACGGTTCGACCCCAACGATCTAAAGAGTTAACATCAGCACCTTTCTCAAGAAGCAAAACAACAACTTCAGTCCAACCTTCAGAAGCAGCTAAATGAAGAGCCGTCCTCTTATCGTAATCAGCTCCATTAGGCTCCACCCCTTTCTCCAGTTCTTGTATGACGCCGGCCTTATCGCCTTTACTCGCACATTGAAGCAGTCTATAAGGAGCACCGGCATCAACTTTCTGCACTGCCAGCCTCTGCTACAAAACAGACCCCTTGTATCTATTTAGTAAATAAACAAAGATTACACCTTGGGTTATAAGTTATAACTATGATCTTTTAAGGATAATCTACCGTAGAACAAGAAGAAGATGGCCTGGAACCTTCCATTTCTGATTGCCAAACCGTTGTTTGAAACTTGGAACAAAAATTACACCTTGGGTTATAATTATAATCTTAAAATCGATGCAGTGACAGTTAATAATGTAGTTGCAGGACAGTACAAATGTTTCATCGTCTTCGGAGCCGTCTATGTTATATTTTTCCAGTTTTCTTTTTGTCTCTTTTCATTCAGAATTTACCGCCTCGTATGCTACGCCTCGAGATGGTGACACGGAGCCGTTTCAACGCTGGGAATGGAAGGGTAAATTTTGGAGAATTTTACTGTTTGGATACTGAGAAAATCCAAATAATAATAATAATTCTGATTTCTTTTTTCTTCCTTTCGATTGGGCTCTGGGAAATTTTCCATCTCGTAACTGGCTATTACCATAACAGCGAATAGAAAGTTCTCTCAACTGTTTTTTTAATTCTGGCCGGGGGTTCGAAATGGGTGATAAAATAGTGGTCGTTCGACAAACACTAACGGGACAAGGGACTAAATTTCTAATTAAAGGTTCGAATCTTAACATTTATAATAGAATAAATTTGGTTAGAAGAGTCGGTCTCATTTTTACATTATCTAATCTAGATTAATTGATCAATAGATCATATACAAGTGATTAATTTAAAAATAATAATGGTGGGTCGATCATTGAACCCAACTATACTACGTCATTTGTCTGCTTAGGTTTGGAGTTTAATTCGCAAAAACTACAGTTAATTGTTTCATATAACCTCAAACTATGATCGTCTTTTATAATCGGTCTCTAAACTTATAAATATTTTAATTTCATTATTAAACTACGTCTGTCATTCTAAATTTATCCTTAAACTTCTAAACATTTTAGTTTCATCCCCCAAACTATATCCTTCATTCTAAATTAGTCCCCAAATGTTTTCAACATTTCGATTTCATCCCAAATTATATGTATATACTAATCACATTTCATGTTAATAAAATCGTTAGGTCAAGCTATATTATTATATGTTGGAAAAAAAATTAAGTTTAGGTTAAACTATGTTTAAAAGTAATTATATATTTGGATGACTTTGGGGATGAAATTGGAAGATTTAAAAGTTTGGGGACCAATTTAGAATGAGGTCGTAGTTTGAGGATAAAATTAGAATGTTCAAAAGTTTAAGGCCTAATTTAGAATGAGTATCATAGTTTGAGGATGAAATTAAAATAATCAAAAGTTTAGGGACCAATTTAGAATAGGGATCGTAATTTGGGGACATATGATGCAACCAGGGACTGACACAAGATTTTATGTTAGGGGTGAATTTGAACTTATGAAATTTTAGGGGACGAAAACCGATTTTCAATAGAAAATACATGAAAAAAAATCTAAAATATATAGTAATTTTATATTTTTAAGGTCCGTCTAGGTCTATCCCTCCATGCAATTAACTTCAAAAACTATGTTAAAATAATTTTATAAGCACCAATCAAACAATCTCGAAAGTAAAAGAATTGTTTGTTATTTCTTGAGGTCAAATAGTTAGAGAATTATCTTTGTACAAATATTGTTTTACACCGCACTACGACTCAATGAACCGAGATCGATTTATAGCTGCATCAATGAAGCCTCCGATGGAGGATAAACAACACAAGGATGATTAAGAGGAAATAACAAGAAGTCAGTTGCATGTAATTTAATGTAAGATTATGACACATGGTCTGAAAATCTATATGATATGAATATTACACCATTTTTGCAGAAGTCCCTATTTGACCTAAAAGAGCACCAGGGTTCAAAGAAATGGAAGGCACGTCCATCCCAATCTGTTAATGCTCTGTAAATCCATTGATTTTTCTAATATGTTTGACTCGCCAAAGTTTAAGAGAACCCCATGAATTATTACTCCCAAAGGCTAACCTCCGACCATGCCAACTTCTTGGGGGGGCCTGCGAATTAAAGTTCCTAAAACATGCAGGCAAAGTAGAAAATTCCCACTAATAACCGGTTGGTCTCGGATTCGTGTGGTTAGAATCCATGAAAATAAAGTTAAATTTGACAAAAACGAATTATATATATGATAAATCAGCTCATTTTAGGTAATTTAGTATACTATTCTCATAATGAGCTCTCACATGGTAAATTATCCATGATAAAAAGATTCTGAATCTATGTATCAAATTCAGGATTAAAGGATAGAGTTTCTGACAGTTCCTCTGGAAATTAGAAATTTTCATTTCATAGTTGAGATTCTGTTCCACCAAACTATAAAATATTCATCACGTATTTGCAAATTGCAAATCATATAATAAAACCAACCAACCCCAAGTCTTCATAAATATTCAACGTGATATTACAACCAAGGCACACTGCATGTTCTATCAGAAACGGAAACAACACCCTTTCATCCAAAAAGAAGCCAAAATCTCTTGCAATTTTTTCTTCTCCAAAGAATCAAATCAAACCCTTTTTTTCCTCCAGGTTTTGCCACTGGATTTTTGTTGTTTGATCGGAAAAAAGGGAACCCGGCAATCAGACGGTGAAGAACTCAAGATCCTTTCTTGTTTGGATGATCATGGTGGCATGGGAATGCAAAAAGAAAGTTTTTCTTTTGGGAAGAAAAAGGTTACAGCGGCAGCGAAAAGGTTACAACTTAGGAGGGAACTGTTTCAAACGTTCCTCATATTACTAGCTATCTTCAACGGTTCCCGAATTCAAATTCTGTATTTACAGTACTCTTTGAAGGTAAGTTGTGGGAAAAAGAATGTTGCTTTATCATCAAACCGTTGGCCTTGGCCTTTACATTTTTTCAAATTTCAGTGAATTATATTTAGAATCCGATGAAAAACAACGACCTGTGAGTGTTAAGGATTCCAAGCTTTTGCCTTTTTTTGTTTCTGCAGGAAAAATGGTCTTTTCTTTCATCTTCTTTTTCTTCTTCCCGTGTAAATTATGCAGTTTAAGCCTCTTTTCTTCCCCCGGGTTCATGTTTTGGACCATGTCTTGAAGTCCCATCAGTTCAGTTTGTTTTGATTATGATTTTTGAAGTATTCAAATCTTGAGCCCAACCAAATTCCATGATTATTTGCAGAGAAAGTTATAGTAGCAGTAGTAGTATTAAAGCAGCTCAAATGGACAATTTATCAAACACTGATGAACACTATGATCTGGGTTATCAGCCTTCTCCTTGTTCCACCGAACAGAATGATCAGTCAACCACAGAAACTCCGGGGTGTTCGACGATGAGCAGCGATTCTTTCTTGTATTTCCGGACTTATTCGGGGACCTCGGCTTTTTCGGAGACGGTTGATGATCATAGTTGTTGTAGTGAAGGTTCACCTTGGCCAGCAAGAAAATCTGGGGCTCAGAAATTGACTGTTCTTACAAGGCTTGGAACAAAGCAGCTCAAAAGCAACGTAGATGAAAAGCTTGATGCATTGGAATCATTGGATTTAGGTAAAAATATTTGGCAAAGTTTTCATCTTTCATGCTAAATTATTTGTTTTTTTATGCTGATGGGTGTAAAAATTATGTTTGATAGAACTTGAAATGATGAAGGAAAGATTTGCAAAACTTTTACTTGGAGAAGACATGTCAGGAAGTGGAAGAGGAGTCTGCACGGCTGTTACCATCTCAAATGCCATAACCAATCTTTACGGTACATAGACATGACTCTGTTTTCAAAGTTGTCATTCAAATCTATGAAATTTGCTTAGTTTTATGTTAAATGTTGATTACTGCAGCGACTGTATTCGGGCAAAATTTGAGGTTGGAGCCTTTGAACCCTGAAAAGAAGGCACTTTGGAAAAGAGAAATGGACTGTCTTTTATCTGTCTGTGATTACATTATGGAATTTGCTCCCACCAAGTCACAGAATTTGCGTAATGGAACAGCTGTTGAGGTAAGGTTTTCATGGTCCGAACCAAGAGGTGTCTTTTGATGGAGATTTGTCATCTTTGTTTACTTTAATATGATGTTCTTTCGACCTTTTTAGATAATGGAAAGCAGACCGAGGTCGGATATTTACATCAATCTTCCGGCGCTGAGAAAATTGGATGCAATGCTCATTGTAAGACAAGCTCTATGTGAGAAACATTCAAGTCTTTTATCATGCTTGGAAAGCTTATCCCATAGCTAACATCCTTTTTTACAGGAAATACTGGATAGTTTCCAGGATAGAGAATTCTGGTATGCGGAGCAAGGGAGTATGTCTTCAAATTCGACCCGTACAGGCTCGTTTCGAAGAGTTGTTCAGAGGAATGACGAGAAATGGTGGGTGCCGGTGCCATGCGTTCCTCCAAATGGTCTCTCTGAGAAGGCAAGGAAGCACTTGCGACACAAACGAGAGTGTGCTAATCAAATTCACAAGGCAGCTATGTCAATCAACAGCAGTGTTCTTTCTGAGATGGAAATACCAGATTCATACATGGCCTCCCTTCCAAAGGTTAGTCCTTCTGGTGATCATACTAGAGTAGCTATACAGAACCCGGAGCTGAGCTCATTGAGTTCATGCTATCACTCTTAAAAGTTGATTGATGTTCGGTGGTAAGTCCCGGTTTGATCCCTAACTCTCTTTTCCTCTTATCTACAGAGTGGGAAAGCCAGTATTGGAGACGTGATCTACCGCTTCATGTACTCATCAGAAAAATTCTCCCCCGAATATCTGCTCGATTGTCTCAATATAGCATCCGAACACGAAGCACTTGAGCTTGCAGACCGTGTCGAAGCTTCGATGTACACATGGAGACGTAAAGGGTGCTTGAGCCATTCGAAATCATCATGGAGCATGATGAAAGACATAATGTCCGATGTCGACCGAAGCGACAAAAATCATATATTAGCTGAAAGAGCAGAGAGCTTATTATTCGCCTTGAAGCAAAGGTATCCCGAACTTTCACAAACGTCCCTAGACACCTGCAAAATTCAATACAACAGGGTAAGCGATCAAAACTGGTATTTTTTTAGTCTAAAAGATGCAAGCTTTCTGACCATCTAATGAGAAGAAACCAATGGAAACTCTGGGTTCTGCAGGATGTAGGGCAAGCGGTACTGGAGAGTTACTCAAGGGTGTTGGAAGGTTTAGCTTTCAACGTCGTTGCTTGGATTGAAGATGTGTTTTTTGTAGACAATGCAACAAGAAACCCAGAGTGAAAAAGTAATTTCCAGCCAGGAATTTATATATCAAAAAGAGGGCTAACTCAACCCCAAAGCCATCTCTGCTGCTGATTGATTAATGCTAAACCAAGCATTTAATTTCCACATTTTTTGTAATTCCATGAACAATTTGATTTCTCTTACATTTGGACCATCTTTTTGTTAATTACAATCCTATTCATTAACGAATTTCATTGCAACAATCTGAGACTCCAAATTGCTGAACAATTTGAAATAAAAAAGGTAAGAAGAAAAAGGTACATGTATCTACTGTTACTAATTAGTAGTAGTTATGATGATAAATGGACAATGACGAAAATTATCTCAAAAACCCAAAAACACTTTAAGAGCATCCACGGCTTGAAGTTGAAACCTGAGGTCAATTCTTCCCCTTCAAACAAAATGATTGACCACTCCGGTTCTCAATCTTCAAAGGTACACCCTGATGGAAATATTGCTTTACTAGGAGTATCTCGCCCTCTTATGCGACTTCTTTGGGCAAATTAAGGATGTGTAGGACTTGATTGCTTCACACCCGCTCCCTTTAACAACTGATTCCGCTTCAGCTTCGGGTTCCTCATCATCGTCGCTGTTGGTGTTGCTCGGAGTGATCCGATTCTGGTATGCTCTCCGCTGCAAAATGAAGACATTGAAGTGATAGCAAACGAGCTCTTCCCGACTTTTCTTAGGGAAACACTTGTAGATATTCTCCCAGAAAGATCTTTCTAGCGACGGAGGATTCAACTTCACTATAGATGAAAACATCTCCTGTTCTTTCTCCGCCCAAGCAAAGGCAACATCTTCACCCATCTTATTGAATTTCCACTTGTTGAAAGCTGATCCAAGCTCCAGCTTTACTTTCAATCTCTTCTCTCTAATATGAAACTTTACACATTGTACTGAATCTTGAAGATGGCAGCCACATGAATCCGGTCTTCCCTTTCCAATCCGATCCATTTCGATCAGAGACATTTTTTCCGTCTTCTCCAATGGCCAGGCACGAGTCCCCAACCACTTTGCATCACTTTCTGATACTACTCCTGTCCACTCCGGTACCTCCGCTTGAAATAACGGTCCGATCGGAACTTGAATGTCGACATCGTAATCAAACACCAAACCTGGAGTTATAGAATAACAAATTCCACGCAACTGTTTGTCGATCCCTATCATAGAACTGTCAGATGTCTGTGACCGAGCCTCTCCTTTAGATGCCGTTTTTCCAAGAAATACCTTCCTCGTGCAACTCAGCCTCTCTCTGAGGTTGTACCCGAGTTTACAGTTATCGTCATACATGTAGGGATGCATCTTCTGGTTTTTCTACAGAGTAAGCACACGATGGAATTATTATAATTATAACATTAATAACAGGAGGTGGGGGGAACGCACAAAGGAATATGATGAAATAAATTACTGCACAATACACAAGCAGCAAGGAAAATATATGTATAGTTTCATGAAGTGGATCATCTTATACTTAATGTAAAACTTTATATGAAAAAAATTAGACGAAAATAAGTTTTACAAATTTATTAACTTTTTAATAAAAAATAATTTATACATTTTTATTATAATTTAAATAGATATATTTTACATGGATTAAGATCAACTTATACTTGATGTAAAACTTTTTTTACACATTTTCAAGATCGTTAAATGAGTAAAATAGACATTTGAGATTATCTCCATATTTTTTTCAATGAATATTTTCTTATTTTCTATTATTAATCTCAACTATCTATTTCAATGTTGCGAAGAAAATATATGTCCACAACAATAGTGATTGTTTCACCAATTGCTAATTGTGTTTCTTTCAAATAGTATCAAGATGACTATAATAAGGGACAAATGCATGATTTTTATATTAGAATGTGAATTTATAAAATTTTAAAGGGTAAATTTATAAAATTTTAGGAGACGAAAACAAATTATTAGTAGAAAATATAAAAAAAATATATCTAAATTATATAATAATTTGAAATTTTCAGGAACAGCGCCTCGTTCTCTCCCCGGTCCATCCCTAGCCGCCATGCAGCTGGTCTTATTATTCACAAGGAGCTAATAAAGCAAGATGGAGCATTTTTCCAGCAGACTACCTCCTTAACATTCAAAGAACTTGAAAATAAATAATAAAACTTGTATGATTATCATTAATGACTAAAAAGTAGGCAAGATTTAACGATGGGTGGTATGTACCTGCAAATTGGTCTGGCCAGCACTTGAATGATTATCATTTCTGCGAAAGGCGGCTTCCCGGAACAATAAAACTTGCTTCCAAAGCTCTTCACTCCCATAAGCCTTCCACTTTGAACTGTCCGGTAATGAACCAATCACCAAATTGCAAGGATCCTTTGCAACTTCGGTAACCCAATTAATCATTTCCCATGTAGAATCATGCTTCCGTTTATGAGATGAAAAGTTTTCCTTAACATCATTTGAATCCAATATCATAACACCATCGTCACCATCACTACATGTGCAATCCTCGTTGTCATTACACATTGAATTGACTGCACTTTTCACCCTATCTGAATGCATATCTTCATCGTCGTCAACTAGAATGAACTTGTTGTCACCCTCTGAATCAAACACCACGTTCTTTAGATCATGATAGTTCTGCAAATTTTCAACTTCCTCATAACGCAAAACCCTGTTCATCAAATCAATATGAGTAGATTCTTCACCTTTTACACGTTTCTCTTTTCCATCTGAACCCGCTACTATACTCTCATCCACTTGCGAATACTCCATGATTTTCTTCTTTGATCCCAACAAAAACCCTTTTAAGGTCAGCTCCCAGTTCCATCAACTGGTCACTACAGTATGATTCGCTCTTTGAGTCCTCACTTTGAGCAATTATTTCCAACCATCTCTCTAACGAAACTAAGTACTTAATATAAACCAACTTAACCGATGAAGCTACATTTAAACCCAATCCAGATTCTTTAGCAACCGAATCCCATAACCCACTTTCTGTAACAACATTGTATCCACCATTATCTCTTACAACCAAGAAAAGCTTAAAAAGATCCACAGGCTTTCCATCAGCAAGCAATGGAGGAAAAGGCCAAAAACAACCTAGGGCACAAATTTCTTCCAGAAACAACCCAAGGAATTTAGCGCAATCTAGTGAAGACCCATCAGCAGCTCTCATCGACCACCCTGCCATGGAATCCGAAATTCAATCCCCATAAACAAATAGTTCTCTCTATAATCTTCCATTATTAAGAAAAAGGAGAAGAAGAGCACATACATAAAACTCGGGGACCAAAACGATAAATGACTAAGAAAGCACCATAGAAATATTTAAGCTCAAATTACAAACTAAAACATCTGGTCCTGCATGATAGAGATTTTTGGCGGAAAAATTAAAATTTACTAATCTAGGGTTTGGATTGTGAATTTTGGATTTGTCCCGCGCTTTCTCTCTCTCTCTTTTAGGGGCTAAATTACAAGTTTTGCAATAAATCGATTTCTCACTTGTTTCCCCTAAATATTCTCTTTCTACCCCTTTCTTTTGCAAGGGTTTTATTAAGCCCTTCTCCCCCCCCCAAAAAAATTCTCTCTTAGACCTTTCTTTTTGTCTTGGGAGGAATTTCATTAGGGTTATAAGGTTTCAAGCAAAGGCTCCCAACCCTCTATTTTATAGTAGCTAGTGGGCATAATTAGTTGACCTTGTTTGTTAACCATGGGTTGAGACTGAGAGAGGTCATGGGTATGTTTGGCAATTCACAAATACAGGAAAATATTTTTTAAAAGAAAAGAATATTGAATAAATTTTTATAGGTCTCTAGATCTAATTAATGGATGACAATTTATATATTTCAAATTATTATAGAAAATAGATTATTGGCGTCTAATAAATAATGAGATTTGAATTTTATCGATTATCTTGTTTGATGTGAGATATCTTTAAAGTCAGATATCTTCGTCAAACATCATATGTGGATGATGATTCTTACTATGGGATGGATTGAGGAAGGTTGAATGCGACAATTGTCTCTTTAAAAAGTTCAAATTCTCATATAATTTAGGTATTTGTTTCATATTTTTTATTGCTATTATATTTTTACTTCTAAAATTTCACAAGTCATATGTTTTTAGTATTTTCTTACATTTAGTTTTATATTTGAACCTAGACAATAAATTTTAATATTTTATTCTAAAAATATAAAAAATGGATGTCCCTTGTTCCCATATGTAATGGGGTAAGGGGGAGGTAAGAAAGTAGGCTGCCCCCAACACCAGGTTGAGAGCAACTTCCGTAGAAGACCTCCGAATTATGAAATGCCCTCCGTGGGACTCGATCCTACGACCTCAAGGTTAAGAACCTTGTGCTCTACCAACTGAGCTGGATAGTCATCTCTTTATTCTAAAAATATAAAAACATTCAAAATTAAAATAATAATAATTATTATTATTTAAAAATATTTTAATTATCTATAAATTAAAACAATATCAGTTAATTTGTGACATCAAATTAACAAAAAAAAAAGTAATTAAAAAGATTTAAATGGTTAAGCCAAATGTTGGGCTTTCAAAGCTTATATCTACTTACATTTAATGGGTCAAACTTGTAAGTTGGGTAAAGTGACTTGACTCAACCAAAGTTTTTTTCGGGGTAAATTACACATTTAATAGATAATCAATCAATTTTGGTTTGTTTTAGTATATAAATTTTTAAAATCATACCTAACGTTTAATTTTTGTTCATTTTAATACTCCACCATTAAAAAGTTAACGTGTTAGAACTTAAACTATCAATTTTAGTCCGTTTTAGTATCTAAACTTTCAATATTTTTCAAAACTTATGTTAAATTTTGAACGGGGTACTAAAATGAAACAAAAACTAAAGTTTAGGCATGGTTTTAAAACAATTGAAAGTTCATGTATTAAAATAGACCAAAACCGATAGTTTAGGTACTAAATATATAGTTTACCCTTTTTGTTGAAGGAGGTGCCACTTGAGCCATTTAATGAGTAAATTAAAAGGAAAAAGAAACAAACAATTGGCTCAGAAACAGAAATAAACAGGAAATAACACAAAGACATGAAAACGTTAGAGGAAATTATAATAATAAAAAAAAACTAAGAGGCTCATACGATCAAAA